TCACATTACAGCCACAAACATGAATCAATTTTATTGGAATTCCACGTGAAAGACCAACACAAAGTGGTGTACACGTGAGAAGTGGAATGAAAATCATACATGATTCCAAACATTTTTTACAAATAAATAACTGCAAAGTGGGGTGTGCGTAATTATTCAGCCCCCTTTGGTCTGAGTGCAGTCAGTTGCCCATAGACATTGCCTGATGAGTGCTAATGACTAAATAGAGTGCACCTGTGTGTAATCTAATGTCAGTACAAATACAGCTGCTCTGTGACGGCCTCAGAGGTTGTCTAAGAGAATATTGGGAGCAACAACACCATGAAGTCCAAAGAACACACCAGACAGGTCAGGGATAAAGTTATTGAGAAATTTAAAGCAGGCTTAGGCTACAAAAAGATTTCCCAAGCCTTGAACATCCCACGGAGCACTGTTCAAGCAATTTCAGAAATGAAGGAGTATGGCACAACTGTAAACCTACCAAGACAAGGCCGTCCTGTCATGGTCATGGGCCATGTTGGCCCAGTATTCTTAGTTTTCGTGTGTTTTGTATTTTGTTCCTTATTTATGCCTTGGTTCCTAGGTTGTTCTGTTAAGATGTTCCTTATTTGATTACCCCCTGTGTGCCCCTCTATGTATCTGTGAGCCCTCGTTTCCCCTCCTTGTGTTTTATTCCATGTTTTCCCCAGCCCATTATGTCTGTGCTCTCCCCGTGCTCTCTCTCCTCCTATCTGAACCTCTGTGTACTTCATGTTTTACAGTCTCTCGTCAGTATGCGTCATGTTGTGTTCACTCCTGCCCTGTCTCATTATGATTATCTGTGTCAGCTGTGTTTCCCGTGTGCTCCCACTTCCCTCGTTAACTCTCTGTGTATTTATGTCTGCGTCTCCCTCAGTTCAGTGTCGTGTTCTCCCTCATGACTGTGTGCCCTTCCGTGTGTTTCCTCATGAGTCAGTTCCTTAGTACTTCCCAGTTTCATATTATTTTGTATCGTTATCTTTTGTCAGCAATAAAGCTGTATTTTGAGTTCAGTCCTGTTTTCCCGTGAGTTTGCGTTTGGGTATGGCACAACTGTAAACCTACCAAGACAAGGCCGTCCACCTAAACTCACAGGCCGAACAAGGAGAGCGCTGATCAGAAATGCAGCCAAGAGGCCCATGGTGACTCTGGACGAGCTGCAGAGATCTACAGCTCAGGTGGGGGAATCTGTCCATAGGACAACTATTAGTCGTGCACTGCACAAAGTTGGCCTTTATGGAAGAGTGGCAAGAAGAAAGCCATTGTTAACAGAAAACCATAAGAAGTCCCGTTTGCAGTTTGCCACAAGCCATGTGGGGGACACAGCAAACATGTGGAAGAAGGTGCTCTGGTCAGATGAGACCAAAATGGAACTTTTTGGCCAAAATGCAAAACGCTATGTGTGGCAGAAAACTAACACTGCACATCACTCTGAACACACCATCCCCACTGTCAAATATGGTGGTGGCAGCATCATGCTCTGGGGGTGCTTCTCTTCAGCAGGGACAGGGAGGCTGGTCAGAGTTGATGGGAAGATGGATGGAGCCAAATACAGGGCAATCTTGGAAGAAAACCTCTTGGAGTCTGCAAAAGACTTGAGACTGGGGCGGAGGTTCACCTTCCAGCAGGACAACGACCCTAAACATAAAGCCAGGGCAACAATGGAATGGTTTAAAACAAAACATATCCATGTGTTAGAATGGCCCAGTCAAAGTCCAGATCTAAATCCAATCGAGAATCTGTGGCAAGATCTGAAAACTGCTGTTCACAAACGCTGTCCATCTAATCTGACTGAGCTGGAGCTGTTTTGCAAAGAAGAATGGGCAAAGATTTCAGTCTCTAGATGTGCAAAGCTGGTAGAGACAGACCCTAAAAGACTGGCAGCTGTAATTGCAAGGTGGAAAAGTTCAAGGGGAATACTTTTGCAAGCCACTGTAGATATGATACAAACCACTGCAGTGCAGTACCTGTAATACCTACAGCATGTTCTAATCGCTCTAATAGGATATTATGGTCGACAGTATCAAATGCTGCACTGAGGTCTAGCAGGACAAGCACAGAGATGAGTCCACTGTCAGAGGCCATAAGAAGATCATTTGTAACCTTCACTAAAGCTGTTTCTATCTGTGATGAGCTCTAAAACCTGACTGAAACTCTTCAAATAAATCATTCCTCTGCAGTTGATCTGTTAGCTGTTTAACAACTACTCTTTCAAGGCCTGTGGTACACAGCCAATTATAAGAGATGTGTTGATCATATTAAAGATCCATCCATCTATCCATTTTATTCCACTTATCCGGGGCCGGGTCGCGGGGGCAGCAGCCCAAGCAGAAAAGCCCAGACCTCCCTCTCCCCAGCCACTTCCTCCAGCTTGTCCGGGGGAACACCGAAGCGTTCACAGGCCAGCCGAGAGATAAAATCTTTCCAGCATATCCTGGGTCTGCCCCAGGTCCTCCCGGTGGGAAATGCCCGGAACACCCCACCCAGGAGGCATCGTTGTCAGATGCCTGAACCACCTCAACTGGCTTCTTTCGATGTGGTGGAGGAGCAGCGGTTCTACTCTGAGCCCCTCTCGAATGGCTGAACCTCTCACCCTATCTCTGAGGGAGAGGCCAGCCACCCTTTGGAGGAAGCCCATTTCCAACACTTGTATCCGCAATCTCATTCTTTCGGTCACTACCCACAGCTCGTGACCATAAGTGAGGGTAGGGACGTAGATCGACTGGTAAATTGAGAGCTTTGCTTTTACACTCAGCTCTCTCTGCACCACAACAGACCGGTGCAGCGTGCGCATCACTGCAGCTGCAGCACCAATCCGTCTGTCGATCTCCCGCTCCCTTCTCCCATCCCTCGTGAACAAGACCCTGAGATACTTAAACTCCTCAACTTGGGGCAGAAACTTGTCCTGACCTGGAGTGGGCACTCCACCCATTTCCGGCTGAGGACATTGGTCTCAGATTTGGAGGTGCTGATTCTCATTCCCACCGCTTCACAGTCAGCTGCGAACCATTCCAAGGTGAGCTAGAGGCCAGAAAGATGGAGGCTTCAATTAAAGATTGAAGCATTAATTAATGGCAGGACTTCTTTTAGCACTGTTGTAGGAATGGGGTGTAAAATCAGTGTTTGTTTATCTATCGGTAGCTATGCTAACGTCACTTCAGAATGAGTATAAAAAGGAAAGTATTTAAAACAGAACATTTTCAAAAACAGCAGAAGAAATACTCCGAGCATTGCTGTGTCCCACTTTGTTCGGCTTCAGCCAAATTTAACGGCATACTAAGTTTTCATGGTGTTCCGACCCATTCTGACTTGAGAAGACAATGGCTGGTAAACATACATCATTTCACAATTACCTCTCACACCAGGGTCTGCAGCAGACATTTCGCCAGTGATCAACTCATAGAGCCAACAACCCTCGATGGTCGAAGGCGGCTTATTAAAGGTGCTGTACCAACACTTTTTGAGTGGAATGGCTATAAAGTTGAACCACCGCGGCGTAGTGTTTGGGAAAGAACAGAGCGACGCCTTGAACTAGTTCCTCCTGACGATCAAGAAGAGCACAGTCTTACAAGAGATCATGACTACTGCTCAGTCCCTGAGCCGTCTGCATTGGACATATCTGCATCAGCTGCAGAAGACCTGTCCGAAGACGTGGAGACTCTGAGGAAGGAAATACAGGAGTTACGTGTCCAGCGAGAATTTGGGTTACAGCGTTTTGCTGGCTCCAACAGTGACATCCGATTCTATACCAGGTACACCTAAGTTCTATTCAAGCTAACTGTTTAAAATATACCAAGGTCACCATCAGTTAAATTTCAAAAGTGTTTCCAGTCTTAATGAAACACAATAGAAATTTACTTTTTCTCTGCTGATTGTATGTTTCATGTAGATGCTTTAGTATTTAAACGATATCCTAATGCTACAGGTAAAATACAACACCAAATACTCTTAACCAGACTATTTTATACAGCATACCATTAGCATATTTGTCACAGTTTATATTATTTTTATGTCAGTGTGTAATGTTAATTAATCATTGACACGATGTATGTCTCTCTCGTGAATAGATTTCCAAGCTATGATCATTTGATGGCATTTTGGTTTTTGATTGAGCCTTGCATCTATAAAATGATCCGGGTTTCAAGAGCCAAGTCAGCTGCCAATCGGAACGAAGAAGTGTTGACACCTGCACGCACATCAACGGTAGGTTATGGGTTTGTTGGTAGTTAGAACTAGAGGTGTAATGTTATTGTATTTATGTACAATAACATTACATTATGTACAATAGCATACATAAAGGACTCAGCATCCTTTACATACATACACCTGTGTACTACAGCACCTCATTGTTTACCCCATGGTACAGTATGGTATGCATAACCATTACAAAACATTTAGCCAAGAAAAGCATCATTTACTACAGGGAGTGCAGAATTATTAGGCAAATGAGTATTTTGTCCACATCATCCTCTTCATGCATGTTGTCTTACTCCAAGCTGTATAGGCTCGAAAGCCTACTACCAATTAAGCATATTAGGTGATGTGCATCTCTGTAATGAGAAGGGGTGTGGTCTAATGACATCAACACCCTATATCAGGTGTGCATAATTATTAGGCAACGTCCTTTCCTTTGGCAAAATGGGTCAAAAGAAGGACTTGACAGGCTCAGAAAAGTCAAAAATAGTGAGATATCTTGCAGAGGGATGCAGCAGTCTCAAAATTGCAAAGCTTCTGAAGCGTGATCATCGAACAATCAAGCGTTTCATTCAAAATAGTCAACAGGGTCGCAAGAAGCGTGTGGAAAAACCAAGGCGCCAAATAACTGCCCATGAACTGAGAAAAGTCAAGCGTGCAGCTGCCAAGATGCCACTTGCCACCAGTTTGGCCATATTTCAGAGCTGCAACATCACTGGAGTGCCCAAAAGCACAAGGTGTGCAATACTCAGAGACATGGCCAAGGTAAGAAAGGCTGAAAGACGACCACCACTGAACAAGACACACAAGCTGAAACGTCAAGACTGGGCCAAGAAATATCTCAAGACTGGTTTTTCTAAGGTTTTATGGACTGATGAAATGAGAGTGAGTCTTGATGGGCCAGATGGATGGGCCCGTGGCTGGATTGGTAAAGGGCAGAGAGCTCCAGTCCGACTCAGACGCCAGCAAGGTGGAGGTGGAGTACTGGTTTGGGCTGGTATCATCAAAGATGAGCTTGTGGGGCCTTTTCGGGTTGAGGATGGAGTCAAGCTCAACTCCCAGTCCTACTGCCAGTTTCTGGAAGACACCTTCTTCAAGCAGTGGTACAGGAAGAAGTCTGCATCCTTCAAGAAAAACATGATTTTCATGCAGGACAATGCTCCATCACACGCGTCCAAGTACTCCACAGCGTGGCTGGCAAGAAAGGGTATAAAAGAAGAAAAACTAATGACATGGCCTCCTTGTTCACCTGATCTGAACCCCATTGAGAACCTGTGGTCCATCATCAAATGTGAGATTTACAAGGAGGGAAAACAGTACACCTCTCTGAACAGTGTCTGGGAGGCTGTGGTTGCTGCTGCACGCAATGTTGATGGTGAACAGATCAAAACACTGACAGAATCCATGGATGGCAGGCTTTTGAGTGTCCTTGCAAAGAAAGGTGGCTATATTGGTCGCTGATTTGTTTTTGTTTTGTTTTTGAATGTCAGAAATGTATATTTGTGAATGTGGAGATGTTATATTGGTGTCACTGGTAAAAATAAATAATTGAAATGGGTATATATTTGTTTTTTGTTAAGTTGCCTAATAATTATGCACAGTAATAGTCACCTGCACACACAGATATCCCCTTAAAATAGCTAAAACTAAAAACAAACTAAAAACTACTTCCAAAAACATTCAGCTTTGATATTAATGAGTTTTTTGGGTTCATTGAGAACATGGTTGTTGTTCAATAATAAAATTATTCCTCAAAAATACAACTTGCCTAATAATTCTGCACTCCCTATAGTTCATAGCTTAAGGAGTAACATTTTCCCTTTTGTTTTCACCTTCCAGAGGCAGCTGCTACAGCCAATTGACGAGTTTTTCTTTTCCTGGTTTTCCTGTCAGTTGGTTTGAAGGAGAGGGACCTGGCACACCGATTTAGCATACACCAGTCCACAGTGAGCCGCATTATTGCAACATGGAGAAATTTTCTTGCCACTGCACTGGGGTCTCAATGCATCTGGCTTACATGTGCAGACGTGCAAGCTTACCTCTCTGAGGAATTCAAAGATTTCTCAGACACCCAGATGATCCTTGACTGTACAGAGCTGAGGTGTCAGACACCATCCTCACCACTTCTCCAAAGTGAAATGTACTCTTCGTACAAATCCCACTGTATGATGAAAGCCCTGGTTGGCATAGCTCCACATGGTCCAGTGACATTCATCTCTAATCTGTATGCTGGTTCGGTTAGTGACAAGGAACTATTCAAACAATCAGGCATTGCTGAGAAGTTGACTGAAGACATGGCAGTGATGGTAGATAAGGGCTTCCTAATCACCAATTGTTGTAAATGCAAAGTGTACTGCCCACCTTTTCTATCTAAGCAGAAGCAGATGCCAGCATACCAGGTTAAGGAGACGCAGGCCATAGCCAGACTCAGGGTGCATGTGGAGCGAGTCATTAGGAGGATCAAACAGAACAAACTTTTTGATAGCATCATTACCATGTCACATGTTTACAATATCAACCAACTGTTTGCAGTGGCATGTATGCTGTCAAATTACCAGAACACAGCATTAGTTAAAAAAATGGGTTAAGTGAGACAAGATGGATTTTTCCCAAGACACCAGTGCCAGTGCCAGTAACTTATGGAAAATGACCTGCAGCTGAGGCCACTACAGTTGCACTTCTTCCTTGACAATACTTGATTACAGAACTGGTACTTGAGTGCTGATAGTTGAGTTCCAGTTATTGTTAATTCTAACTCATTGCAAATGTTGAATGTTAATAATACTGTTTAATTATACTACTATATTACTATTCAGAGTCAACAAAATTGTTTATCAAAATTATAGTTAAATCACTAAATCGTCGGAGAATCACATTTGCTCAACACCTGCCACAGGTGGATGAACCCGAATGCTGCTTCAATACCTCAACTCTTCTTTATGCTCATTGTTATTGTTATAAACAGCTGCACTCACAGTTCAGACCCTCACTGTGGCATTAATATTTATGTTTATTGTAAACTTTTATTCTGCATCTGCTGCTGGAATATCATTTTCAGCTCTGTGAAGTACCTGTCCAGTAAAACAAAAGAAAACTTGATTTTAATTGTTCAGAGTTGTAAACAGGTCACAGTAGGCTTAAGGGCTTTTATTTTGAAAGGCACAGAGAGGAATAACCCATCAGCTGGGCTGCTAAAGCAGCAGCTGAGGTTTATTTTGAAGGAGGAACATTGCTTTCAGGTATGCTTGGTGAAAGAAACGAGTCCGAGTCTTCTCTCATAACAAGTTTCAGGTTTATTAGAATTTTACTCGCGTGCCATCAGCTTCTGCTTCTTCAGCTTCTTCTGTGAAACCTGCAGAGAGAAGAGAGAGGCAGAGTTATGACATCATCGATCAGAGAGTTTGCACCGCTGCCTTGGCCAACAGTCGCTCAGTTTTAACAGGGTTGTTTTCATGGAGAATCCAAAGGTGTCCTAAGGAGTCATCACTGCGACAGATGATGAAGAGGAGGAAGGTGACGGGTTCAGATGTGCAGCCAGAGGAGCAGGATTCACTGTGTTTGCTGTGGCATTCATGGGACCTTCAGTAAAAGGGAAATCACAGCTCTCCAGGTCCCTAGAGACTAAGCCAACTTTAATTCTCCTAACCTCGCTCCGTGCTGCATGTTTGAAGCCCCACCCCTCGCTCTTCCCTCTCCACGTTCTCACCTTTTTCTTCTGGGCGACCTCCTCCTCGGGCTTGGGGACGATCTGCTCCTTTTCTGTCAGGATCATCTCAATGTGGCACGGCGAGCTCATGTAGGGGTTGATGCGGCCGTGGGCGCGGTACGTACGCCTCCTCATCTTTGGCGCCTTGTTGACCTGGATGTGCTCAATGACCAGAGAGTCCACGTCCAGACCCTGAAAGCACAAACACGGGTCAAGACCACCAGGAGAAAATAAGACTCCATCGATCCTTTCAGAGCTCAAATCATCAGATATTAATCATTTATTAATCAAAGGCTCTGATTGGTTCACCTATTGCTTCCAAACATTTGGAGATGAAGACTAAACGTCACCCGAGAAACCAACTGCAGATCAATAGATGCTCAGACATCAATAATCAAACTGAGGCCTGAAGCATGCGATCATTAAAGTGGTGTTGTCCTCTCGTTCCAGCTGTCTGTGATTCTCAGATTGCTCAGACTGTAATTGTTCTTTTCATGGTTAATACAAAGGTGTCCTAAATGGTCATCACTGCAATCTGCTGCTCACCGATCAGCTCAACAACAACCAGCTCCACAGAGCTGAAACCGAGCTCAGGGTCATCTCAATGTCTCCGCCTGCCCTCATGTGGAAGCTCGCCTCCCTAAAGCCTGCCTGTGATCGCCACCTGTAGGCTGATGTCACGATGCAGATAATCATTTTAAACTTAAAGAACGCTCTTGTGTCATAACTTCATGAAATCAAAGCCAGTGTCCTCAGGGACCTGCTTTCTGTTGGACCAACAAAATCCAGATATGCTCAATAGATTTAGATCAAATGTGCATACTCTGTCACGTTTAAGAAGTTGAAACGCACGACGAGTATCATTGAGAGAAAAATATTAGTGTTCAGTTTGAGAACCAAGCTCATGCTACAGCTCATGCCATACAGACGAGCTACGACTCATCACAGACATAAGACAGCTAACTCATTTGCAGAACAGTCCAACATTTGGACTTTAGTCTTAAAATAAACAAGTATTTTTCATTAATGCGACGCTGACATGCACACTACTTAAGAGATGCCACATTTAGAAAACTAACAACAATTCGATCACACAAACTACTTTGCACATCACTAGCACAGTTTCAGGTGTTTAAAGCTGCAGACAGACGGGTGTGACCTTCCGACTAAATTGGTATCGATCCTTTCAATATAAAAGTGTGTTCCAGGGAGTCCATCTCTCCGTCTGCTTGCTACACCCGTTGGCCCCTCACCTCCTCATGACCTCACCTTCAGCTCAGCGTTGCTCTCGGCATTCTTGAGCATGTGCAGGAGGAACTCGGCACTCTTCTTGGGCCAGCGTCCCTGGGTCCAGCCGTGCTGTTTGGCCTGAAAACAGAAAACATCAAAGGTGCTTTTAGACCATGCCTCCAAGCTCAGAGGCGGGGTAACTCTGGCCGCCTTCGCTGCTGCTCAGGTTACTAGATTTAGTTTCATCTTTAATCCAAAGGTGTCCTAAGAAGGTCATCACTGCAGCTGTCAGAGTGATGCCACGCTCGCTGGGACCTCACCTGAGCACAGCGGCCAACGCCGCCGTTGTAGCGGCGGAAGGGGACGCACTGGTGCTTGACGATGACGTCCCTCAGGTACTTGTTGGCTTTGCGAATGTGCATTCCTTTGATGGCCTGGGCCGTCTCACGGGTGTTCTGAAAGTGAGGACACAGACGGGTCAGAGACCGGATCAACAAAGTGGCACCTTTATGTCGTAACCTTCATGACCTCAGCATGACGTCCAGATGTCGGGTCAGTTCTGAGGGCCTCGGCCATCACATTAGATTTAATGAAAGTTGAACGTGTTTATAGATTTTAGGGGAGGCAAACAAACCATCAGAGAATCTCTGCGATCTGATCGATTCGACAGAAAACAAAGTCTCTTTAATCCACAGCCAAACAAACCTAGGAGCACTGCAGCCATCTTTAAAACTAGAGCTCCTCCCACTGACATAAACATTAGACCAGCAGCTCATTCAATCACAGCAGATTGTCTATTCAACATTTCTAAACACACAAAAGTTACTCAAGCCATTCACAGTAATTTATTTTTCCTGTAAAATCCTGACTTATTCACTCCTTATCCTCGGGAGCAGAGCTTTAAGTACCTGAGCTTAAATATTAACTTCAAATTATATACACAGAAATTCTATTTAATTACAGGAGGATTACACCTGTATTCAAAAGAGAGATTAAAAGTGTCACCAGTTATTTTCAGACATCTCACACATTCTGCAGCTGAAGCAGAGCTCCAAACAAACTGGGCTGTTCACAGAAACCAGGCTCATGCTGTTACCTGAAGCTCTAATGAACAGACCTCACTGAGGTTTATGCTTCAGCGAGACAACGACCTCGAAGGATATTTAACTACACATCACAGACAGCTCATAAACACCACTGACTCCTCCTGTGTGGTTTTTACATGTATCAGTGAGAGAACCATAATCACTTCTATCAGGACGATTAACCACAGCATCAATGTAAGGATCACTCAAACTGGGTGTGAGGAAGTGGAAAAACTGGGGGGGACAAACGTGTCTGCGTGAAATAAACTAACCACAGTACAGTGTTTCTATTGGCTGGGATCACAGATAGACAAAATGCAAGAGTATAAAACATTTCAGTGCATCTCCCATCACTCCCCGCGGCAACGAGCCATTCAGTTTCATGACTCTGAAGTAAAATGGGATCATTTTTCTCTACTGAGTCAGAGCACCATATTAACTCTGAACCCACATCCACGTGTGTTTAATGAGTTATTAGAGCCCAGATTCAGAAGCCTGCTGCTGCTCATGTAACCTACTCTGAGCCTCTACACACCTTTACACCTGAGAGAATCTACTTTAACATGGACACGCGTGAGATGACAGATGAACCCTGTGATCCCCTTTGTCTGTGCCCACATGTGGACTCTTACCTTGAAGTGCACGCGGAGGTTGGATCCCCTCGACTTGCATGCTGAAACACAGAGAGAAGCCGTTAGCACCCCCAGCAAAGACCCGGATCACTCCACCAGTGAGTGCGGCAGCTCAGTTGTGTCATTAGTTTGTTTTCATGCGGAATCCAAAGGTGTCCTAAGAGGTCATCACGGCCACCAGCTAACCCCCACACATAGCTGAAGTTCACCTTTACTCACATTTAGTCGGGTTCTCGGGGTCGAGAGAGTAGCGGACCATTGTCAGATATCTGTAAGAAGAGGCACACGTTAGTCTCCTCAGGCTAGCACACAGCAGGTAAGACCATCTTAGACAGCACCGTCTCAGGTGACGTTAAACAGATTTAAACCCCACAAACACGGAGAAAAGGAGCTGCTAGGGCCGCTTTACAACTCCTATCCACGCCACACGGAGCCAACATGGCGGACAGCCGCCGGAGCCACCAACCCGGCGTCTCCGCAAATATCTTCATAAAACTTCATTTAATGGCTCCAGACACACAATTCAACCATCAGCGCACACATTTACACACAGCTGACACGATCCAGATGCTTGCAGCGCAGGATGCAGTATTTTTACTCAGATTTAACATGGATTCTCCGCTTCGTGAGCGAGACAGAACTCCTACCTCTGAGGCCGCGGAAGGAAGAGGAAGTCTCCCGGACGGCGCTCCTCTACTTCTGCCTTCCTGTGAGGGTTACCGCCCCCTGGCGGTGAGGAGGAGGAGGACGGTGCTCGGGGCGCAGTGAAGCGGAATGGACAGCAGGGGGTGGTATTTCACACACACACAAATTACGCGAGAAAAATTGTTTTCCCGTGGTTACGCCATGATTATGACGTAAACACGATAATAGTGATGGGAAGTTTCTCTTTTCAGAGAGCCAGCTCTTGTGGCTCGAATCTCAAAGAAGAGCTGGCAGTTTTGGCTCCCAAATGGCTCTTAATTTATTATCATCTGTAGCCTCATATTTGACAAATATGAATGCTCTGTGTGTTGATGAACCCTTTTGCATTTAGTGTTTTTATGAGATGCCTTATAATTGCCTAATATTGTGTATTTGTTCTGTTAGAAAAGCAGGCATTCTTACTTTTGTATAATATTTTAATCAAACTTTTGATTTTAATTCAACACAAAAACAAAGCACTGCAAACAAATCCACAGAAGAGAAACAGAACCAAACTCAGCAGCCAAACAGTATGTCCTCAGGTTGACATTCAGAATAATCAAATGCCTCAGCTTGATGAGCTGATGCAGTTTCTCATCTTAGTTAGTATCTGCTTCTTCTTTAAGCTGGAGCGAGATGCTGCTTCGTTTACAGTTGTCAGTCATATTTACATGTTTTTACGATGCACTTGGACTCTCATTCTCACCGCAGTCTACTGTCTCACTCACTGACTGAGGAATATCGATACTTCCAATACCAGCATTTCATGTTGCAGGATCAATTCCCATATGAAAAATTATAATATCTAATTTGATTAAATTAGTTTTTAATCATGAATATGACATACAGACAAAAGTCGGCAATACCCTGTTAATAAGAACTACAGTCGCCTTCTGCCTCTCATTCATGTTTTTTTTGTTTTTTTGTTTTGTTTTTTACAGCTCATTGTGTTCTACGTCCTGATTGGCTGTAGAGCATTGTCAATCAATCTCCGTGCTGTGTCGCCTGTACAGTACAGAATGTGTTTAACTTGTCAAATTTACATAAAGTGCTGTACTGTATGTTGTAAGTTTTCTCTCCAATAAACAACAATGTTGACGAAATGTGTTGCACCGTCGAAGGCAGAGGAAGATGCTAAGCATTGCACAAAAAGTTGGACTTCTGGACATGCTAACGGAATGTAGTTACTGTATTTTTCAGATTATTAACTCATTCTTCTTGCTTCCTCTACTTCCGTACCATATCGTTGCTGTTGAATTCTCTCACAGCTGCTCTGTTCCCATATTCTGGACGTGAAAACAGGGTTTGATCTTTGGTTTCATTCTGTAATGACTTATTTTTCTACGTAGGTTTGAACTTAGAGTGGTTAAATAAGAGAGAAAAGTGTATAAAATGTCTGAGAACAGTGTATAAAATGTGTAGTGAGGGGTTTTACAGCCTTAAAATGTAATTGTGCCCAGAATGCACTTTGTGAATGATGATAAACAGATCAAACTACCAGCGTTAGCTTCTGCTTTTCAATGTCACAGACACGAAACTGCTGTAGGTTACTCCCACTGTGATAAATCCCCCACACTGAGGCTGTGACAGGAGGAGTGAAACAGTTTTTGACATTTTAAAGGTTTTTGTGTGGATATCTACTCGAGTTATGAAATGAAAAATGCTGCTAATGCTAAAGAACTGATTCTGGAACCACTCGTGTGTATTCGGAGGGCCTGAAATAAAAAAATATTCGTAGTATGAAGGTAAATCTTAGCATGACTTTATTAAAATTATGTGTCATAATGTGTTTTCATGATTTTACTTTACTTGATTTCCCTCTAGTGGGGAAGAGAAATTATAATTAAAATTGATTCAGTGGTGGTCTTTTTTTTTTTCACAAGCTGGAAACAAAATGCTTTATGAGGAATTTCAAGTGTCTGATGATTTTTCATTTTAAAAATATAAGTGCTTGTATTCACTTCAAGGACTCCTCCAGTTATCTGCTGCATAAAAATGCTCCACCCAAGAGTTCATAAATGAAGCGGTGGCACAAACTGCAGTTCCTCTGATATCCAGAAGAGGCAGCAATGAGACCCATGTTGAAACTTTACAGCAGAAATAACTAGAACTCACCTGTTTAAACTGTATCAAGGCTTAAAGTTTGCATTATTGGGGGTGTGGCCTTTTGACTGACAGGTGGATGGCGACACAGCTGGTTGTAGCTGCTAGTTGACTGCTAGTCTTCTCCTGATTTAATTCTAAACTGAACTGGGCCTCTGGACCTTGTTTGTGCAGTTGTGACCTACAAACTGTACATTTTCCCAGTGAAAAGGTGAAACTGTGTTTAGAGCGTGAATGAATGACATGGCCTGCAGGTATTAGAGCAGTCATTGTTTATTTGGTATTTCATGATGAACTGTGAGACGCTGGACGGAGCTACATAGAAAACCCCGTGTGCAGACTCACAGTGAGTCATGCACATCATTGCACTGTAAAGAAAGTCAAAGCTCGAGTGGCGACACCTCAGGCCAACATACAAAAATAAAGATATTATTTACAAACAACAACATTTTCCCATCAGCACGTGTCAGTGTTTTCATCAGACAGTGAAAAGAAGTTCAACATGTAGAAATCACTGTGGTTTCATTAGAAGACGCATAAATATCTGTACACGTGCCACATCCTCGGCCCGAAGGCTCGTCTGCTACCTTCACATCAGTGTGTTCATCACAGTGTGTCTGAGAGCGAGTGCAGACCACAGGCTCCGAAACCTCAGCAGCCCCACACCATTGCACACCCCACACTGTGGAAATGTTTGAGCAGCTCAGTCAGAGGATCTCCACACTCAGCATTCCTGTTTCTCACGGCTGAAAAAAATCAGTTTCATCATCTTCAAGTTAAA